TTTCATGTAGCAGAAACATAACAATGCGGAACAGGGACGTCGCGTGAGTTTTGAGAGCGGTAAAGCTATAGGTGAAAATTTATATTTCATATGAGACGGATTTCAAGTTTAATAGTTTCGAGTAATTGGTTACATAAATCGCCCTTATTTTTACTCAAATAGCAGTTGGTTGTATATTACTTTGATCAAAAAGATCAATAAATCTATATTATTTATATTTCAGCTCTATCCGTCTATCCTTGACATCAGCAAACAAATCAATGACATCTTTCATAAAACTTTCGGGTACTTGATAATTTCAACACACGAAAACCTGTCCAGGGCCACTCTGTGATCCCAGTCCCGGGCCGCTTAGCCATCCCAATCCGCCCCTTGGGAATGTTATGTAATTTTCATTAAATTTAAAGAAATTTATCTGAAAATAAAGCAGCTCGCTTTTGTCATGTATTTTTTCCCAAAATTTTAAACATACCCTTTTAGCTCTGAGACCGCATGCCATAAAATCAGGGGATTTCGTTTTAAAGTTACTTGACATTTTGTTGTAATTTTCTATTATATCTTCATCATCAATAAAAAATGTCTACTAAATGTAATTAACACCACTATCGTGATATACAATGATATTATTTTTAAAAGAAAAAATTAGTACGAATTACATTTTGAGCTCATAATTTTCAATTAACTAATTGAAAATTACTTATTTAAGTTATTACGTCAATTTTTCATTTTCTTAAAGTGAAATCCTTTATTTTCCAACATAGCCATCTCTAGGAGTTTTTAGCAAATAAATAAATAATACTTTTTGAGTATCACAGTCTAACAAGACAAAAAAGATAAATTAAGATATTTGTATTTTATTTCATTGTCTTTAATAAACTTCAAATTTATATTATATGTAAAATTAATTACTAAAAAATTGCAATTCTGTTTTAAAACGTTTTTAAATCTGATCAAAAGTTTATGTACTATGTTTTTAGTCATAATGTAGGGTATTTTTTTTATATGCGAAAAAGAAAAAATAGAAAAAACTTATATTGCAATTAATTACTGACCTTTTCACCACATTTTTCACAAAAATAAGCATTATCTCCTTCTAAAAGTTCACCTTTCACAAACTGTTCAAGAGAGTCCAATAAACTGTGGCTTTTAACGGGAAGGTTAAGAGCCATGAACGTCTCTTCTCTCTCGTACCTGTCAGAAAGAACAAGTCTGTATAAACTCATTGCTTATGCATTACTTCTAACTATCAGTCTGTGAATTTTTCAACCTCAGAGTCAGTAATATGTGGAGTGATAAATGGTTAATTGTTTTAATGAATCCACATCAATGAAACAAACATTAAACGTATTATTACTTTTAAATGAATCACTGACATCAACAATTCTAAAGAAGTTACATCTTTAACATTAAAGAACATCATTTTAGTCAACAAACTCCTTTGTTATAGATCTTTATTGACAAGCTGCAGCAAAATGGTGAAGAAAAGCTTCATTCAAAATTTAATTTTAACTATCTCACTATGAGCTCAGTCGAATCACCCGAGTTCATGTGTATCATAACAAAATTTCAGTGAACATTATACGATTTTTGTAGAAAAAGGAATCAGAATTTGTTAAGGAAATGTTTTTCCTGAAAATTTCTCTGTGAATATATGTAGTTAAAGCTCCAAATGCAAAGTGATTTCCATGTTAAGATTAAAAATACTTTTATCTGAAAATTGTTAATATATATTTGCATAACCTGTAAAAATCTCCTAAGTAAATTTCAAACGTTTGTTTTAAAAAAAAACTTCAAATATTTTCTGTTATTTTCTTTACCATTACTCTATACAGGGTCAGTAAATATAAATCAAACTAAGTTACACTATTTTCTTTCTAGAATGACTTCATATTGTAACAGGAAACTAGATTTTTTATCCTAAATAACTTAAGTCTCATAGCAGTATACATCCGCTTCTACATAAGTTTTATTGCCCTTAGAGCTATGTCGAAGTAATAATGCCACTACAAAAGTTGTAAATCACACTGCAAACATGTAGCTCATGTTACCTTATTGAATTACTTAACATACAAGCTACTCAAGAACATACCTCATGGAAAATTATTATTTTTCTTCTTTGTCTTACCTAATCTAACTAGTAAGTATCTAATTTTTCATTTTATTGATATTTATACTAATAAATAAAGAACACAGATGAAAAACAAAAAAATATAGTACTTACTTGGGTGAGTATCATTTTTTTGCTGTCGACCGTTGATGAAACTTAACCCTACTTTTTTTTTTATACTGATGGTGCTACTATACTACATATATTTTAGTTAATTAAATACTGTACCTAATAACACAGAAGAATAACAAATAAAGAGCACATAATGTCCTTTATTTGAACTAGACAATTGTCTGTATAGAAAAAACGTAAAACCTCATCTGATAGATTAAAACTTCGGCTTTCTATTGGTTATAAATAATATAGTATAAAACACTAGAGAGAACTAACTGCAATTTGTGAAAGGGAAGTCTATTATTTCACACACACAAAAGAAAAAAAGAAGAAGAAAAAGAAAGAAAGAAGAAGACGAAGAAAGAGAGCCCTCACCTATGTGGACAACCTTGGCAAATTTTCTGATCTGAAAACAGGCCTTCATAACAGAATTTAAATAAAGGGTCCTTTCCAATTTGTTTTAAGTGTTCATCCAGTTGGTCAACAAGGTGTGTAAAGAACTCAAATGCATCCTGCTGCTCTCTTACATTGACAGGTTGGCCCCAAAGGCGGAAACATTTCCAAAATCTTTCTGGGATATAATACTGTAGCTGAGATTCAAGCAAATGACCAAAGACTGTCTGAATCTGGTAAAAAAGACTGAAACAAACCTGAATGAATTAGAGATTTTCACATCAAAACAAAAGTAAATATTAAATATTCATAAAGATTGCTAATATGGCATATTTGGTTTGTTTAAAGAAAAGCAACATTGGTCTATCTGCTATGTCTACTGTGGGGAATTGAATCCTGGATTTTAGTATTGTCAGTCCATAAACTTATTGCTGTCCCACTAGGGGACTTACTTAAAAGGATGGATAAAAGAGCCTAGGGATCAACAAAAAATAACTTATGTAAAATTAATAAAAAAATAAAACATTAAGAATAACTAGATCATCAGTGATCTAACTGAAGTGTAGTTATAAAATCTTCTTATTGAAACTCCGCCTACTATAGAGTAAAATATACATTATCAACACTGAAGTTTAACAATAAAAATTCAAAATACATATTACTCATAGAACCAATAAAAAAATGTAACTTTGTAGTTCTTTAGATCAATATACAAAAAATCTCAAACTCTTAATAATATGTAAGGTGTCTATACAATGGCAAGTTCACAAATACAGTTTCAACATTCATTAACCTAGTTAAAATCATAGTAAGGACTTTATCAATCGATGGAAAATGAAGTTTTACAATAAAAAGGATAAAAATACTTAAGATGAATAACAATGTTTACTTCTAATAGAAAGGGATGCAGATAAACATTTCAGAGTTATAAAGATTCCATCTTCAGTATTTAACACAAAAATATAAAGAACTAGCTGGAATAGCCATCCATTGGACGGGTGAAATAAAAACTTGTTTGTAACAAAGGATAGGAAATTGTGCTTCTATTTTTTTTTCTTAACATAATGAACATTACAAGTGCAATACAAATACATAAAGGTACCAATACTGAAAAGTAAGACATACTGTTTTCAATATTTCTAGCAACAGTGGTTACATAGTTCAATCTAATGCTTGAGGGCTATTCAATATTGGTAGTTTTTCCAAAATTAGATTATATAGATTACATCATTCCTAAGTAAATAACTAAAATACATTGCTAAATTAATGATAATTTAATCAAATTGAAAACACACAGGAAGTAAGTATAACAACAAAAATACTGTACATATTAAAGAATGTGCAATCTATACTAATAAAACATCCTGCATGTTATTCAGTGTTGGCAAAAGTTGTTTGATGTAGAGTTTCTTTAATCAGTAATTCTAGATCACTGTTGGCCTTGCAAAGGATTTTGAAATTTGATAAGTTCATGTCCTTTTCCTTCATTATGTTGGCATATAGAGGTAGCACACGGGTTACTTAACTATTTTTTTGTTTTTCATGGAAATTCCCAAATGTTCATTGGCTCTAACTAGTAGATGATGTTTGGTTTTGCCAACATAGGAGGCCTTACAGTCTCTACACGTATAAACATATACAAACCATGATCAAAGAGAAATTGGGAGAAGATCTTTAGTATGGAAAAAGTTCTGTATGTGTGATGTGGATTTAAAAGCTCATCTGTATTGAACTTAACTTGGGGGTAGTAATGATTAATTATGCATTTAATTTGACTTCTTAGGGTTAAGCTTTGTTAATCAATGTATGGAAGACGAGAGTACATAATGAGTTTAGGTATGGTTGGTACTCTAAGTGGATTTGTGAGATTCTAAGTTAGAAAGGTATTGGTAACTTTTTTCCAAGTAAATGTTGTGTGTAGCCTTTATGTTTAGAGTATCCAATATGAAAGAAATTTCTGTTTGTTTGATTGAAGTTAAGCACAAAGCTACACAATGGGCTATCTGTGCTCTGCCCACCACGGGTATCGAAACCCGGTTTCTAGCGTTGTAAGTCCGCAGACATACCGCTGTGCCACTGGGGGGCAGAAATTTCTGAGTGTAAATTAAGATATGTGGAATACAGGTTGTTAGCTCTGTTTAATAAGCATGTTACAAGATGAACAGGATAAAGCTGTCAAATTGTGTAAGGAGTCCAATAAACATCTTTTTTCTGTAGATTGATGTACAAAATCCACTAGCATTACAGTTAATGAGGATGTTTAAAAAAAGGTAAATTACTATTATTTTCAACCTTGCATGTAAATTTAATGGCAGGATGTTGTGAGTTCAGGTACACTAAGAATTTTGAGCAATGATCTTGATTATGAAAAAGAATAAAAGTGTCATCCACATACTGTCTGCAAAGGACAGGTCTGAAAAGTCAGTGGGGTAGGTGTCAAACCATTTCTGTTGATGATAAGAGTGGACCAGGAACCCATAGCAATGCTATTTATTTGTTCAAAGAAGGTTTTGTTGAATATTAAATGTGAATACTTAGTTGTAAGATCCAACATGATCTCAATTTGAGGTTCATTATGTGAAAGCTCAGATATACAAATATTAATGGTTTCATTTAGTGGTATATTTGTAAAGAGAGAGATAATATCAAAACTAGCCATGAAATGGTTTTTGGAGGTGGAGTAATTGACTTAATTCACGTGTAAAATGGAAAGAATTAAAATTGGTAGTGAGTGGCTGCAGTATAAGTAAAAGGAATTTGGCAAGTTTGCAACTAAGCATGCCTAAGGCTGAAATAATTGGTCGGAAGGGATTGTTTTTTTTATGAATTTTAGAAAGACCATATAAAAAATCAGGGAAGGAACCTGTCGGATACAATGAGGGAGCATCATTTTTAGATATAATACTTTTGTATTTAAGTGCTCTCACATATTATTAGATTTTTATCTAATTGTTTGATGGTAAGATATAAAGAGTCATTTGTTAGGATTTTAAGTTTAGTAGAGTCATCAAGAATGACCACTCAAGTAGTCATTTTTGTTTAGAATAACAATGACATTACCTTTGTCATGTCATGCAACATGAATATTTTGATTTAGTGACAGTTTTTTTAAGGCTGAGATTTCTTCAGGGCTTAGATGGTTAGGATGTCTCTTAGTATTAAAATTATAAAAAGTAGAATGTGCAAAGTTAATTATTTTCATAATTAAATAATCGAAGGATATATCAAGAGTTCCTTTATTGTACATAGGAAGGTTTTACACATTTTCTATATAGCAAATTGAAAGGGTAAAGAAAATTAGCAAAATTCTGTTTACGCGGTGAAAGAGAGAAATTAAGACCTTTAGCTAAGACGGATTTATACTGATTACTCAGGTAAATGAATATTCAGAAAAAAAAAAGATGTTTACTGGACTCCTTACAGAGTTTGACAGCTTTGGTCACATACAAAACGTGCTTATTAAACAGAGCTTACAACCTGTGATCCATGTACCTTAATTTACCCTCAGAAAATTCTTTCATACAGGCTACCCACAACATTTATACAAAAAATAACTAATACCTTTCTAAGAAACTTACAACTCCACCCAGACTAACAACTTTAACCAAACTTACTATACAATCTTGTCTTTCATTCATTGGTAAACAAAGCTTCACTTTAAAAAGTCAAATTAAATGTGTAATTCATTGTTGCTACCACTAATATGAATTTAGATTAGTTTTTAATTCCACATCACACATACAGAACTTTTTCCATACTAAAGACCTTCTCCTAAAGCTGAGTAACCTCTGTGCTTCCTCTATGTGCCAACATAGTGAAGAAGCATGACATAGACTTAATTTATCAAATTTCAATATCCATTGCACTGATCTGGAAATACTGATTAAAGAAATCCTCCTCATCAAACGGCATTCTCCAGCTTTGAATAACATGCAATCTTCATTTAAATTGCACATTCTTTAATATGTACAGTATTTTCGTTGTTACTTATCTACTTTCTGTGTTTTAGTTTCGATTAAATTATCATTACTGTAGCAATGCACTTAGAAATGATGTGATTCTTTATATTTTTGCTTTAGATACTAAAGATGGAATCTGTAGAATTCCAATATGTTTATCTGCATCCCTTTCTGTTATAACTAAACAATGTTATTCATCTTATATATTGTTATCCTTTTTGTCATAGTAAGGACATTTTCCAAATAGAGTTATCTGACAAAAATAAAATTTGTAATTTCTCACCTATCTTCATCTGGACTCCCTTCTTCAACAGTTAGCAAAGCTTCCCGAATACCAGGTTGCATGTACAACTGTTGGATTACAGAGTTCATGTAGCAAGTTGCTCCAGCATTCTTCAAACCTACGTACCCTGAATCAGCTCGGCCAGCTACCAGTGGTTCATACTATACAGATATTAATTAGTTTGAGAATTTTGTGCAAAACTACATAAGATGTTATCTTAAAACTTTTACCCAACAGAGTGAAGGCAGCTAGTTAACAGCTACCCCCACCAGCTCTCGTATGATTGATAGTGGGATTTGACTGTTACTCTTACAGCACACCAAAGTGTGTGGGTTGCAAAAAATGAGCCCCTGGATTCACAGCCAAGGCAGGCTAACTACAGGGCCATTAATTTAGTGAAGTTTAAATCTAAATTATTGAATTACACAGTTATAAAAACAAATTGCACTGGATTTAAAACATTGCTTCAGCCTCTCATAACTAGGTTGGTATAGTGAATTGTTTAAAAAAGACCCCCTTACAGGTTCCATAACATTACAAATAAAGAATCTCAGTGTCCTGTTCTTCAGTTTCTTGTTACCAACAGATATTTTTTAACTAACTGAAGAACTCCATGTTTCTGTATGATCCTTCTTCTTAGAATAGAAAATAATTGATAAAATGGTAAAATACCCTACATATTTCAATTTATCACTGTATTACCAGTTTTATTCTTTATTATATCATCTTATACATTTAATAATAATTGATAAAATGGTAAAATACCCTACATATTTCAATTTATCACTGTATTACCAGTTTTATTCTTTATTATATCATCTTATACATTTAATAATAATTGATAAAATGGTAAAATATCCTACATATTTCAATTTATCACTGTATTACCAGTTTTATTCTTTATTATATCATCTTATACATTTAATAATAATTGATAAAATGGTAAAATACCCTACATATTTCAATTTATCACTGTATTACCAGTTTTATTCTTTATTATATCATCTTATACATTTAATAATAATTGATAAAATGGTAAAATACCCTACATATTTCAATTTATCACTGTATTACTAGTTTTATTCTTTATTATATCATCTTATACATTTAATAATAATTGATAAAATTCCTTCACATCACAACTATATGTAAATAAGAGTATTTTTAAAGTTTTGTGTATTTCCATATCAAATCATTATCACTACTAAGTTCTATGTTTTCACTTTTTAACATTTTAAAAACTTGTTTGAACTTTGTGATTAAAACTTAGATTATAATAATGACACCATAGTTTCTTTATGTTACCTGTTTTTTAATTTCTAAGGTTCATTTAAAGTTATAAAAAACACATTTTGAAATACAACAGCTTTAAAAAATCTCTAACATTAGTTTTTAAGCTTGGCTTTGACAAAAACCCTTCATATCATCCCTTACTTTTTGTAGATATTGTAACATCAGCCTTTGAATCTTATAAGAAAATTAAGGTTTCATTCAATGATGTAAAATATTAATGTAACATCAACAGTTAAAACTTTTATTTCCTAAAATACCTCATATTCCCGTGCTAGTTCAGGCTTGAAGTGATGATGCATCTTAATAAGAGATGAGACAATCTGTTCGTTGTTTTCCCAACAATCATGAGAGAGTTCCACTAAAACTTCACATGCAGCCCTTCTTGCTTCAATCGTGCTGCATCTTTAAAGAAAGTTAACCTTTTGTTCAACTAAGAGTTTATTATAAAGCTGGCTGTCAATATCGGAAAATATCTGCACATAATTAATAGAGATGATAGGATAGGCTTAATGTGTATAGCCTCAAAAATTAACTTTTGTTCAGTGTTAGACATTTTATGTTCAGTTAACGACATACATCTCATCCTATGTTGAGATTATTTGATATAATAATTTCTATTAGACTTTGAAAAAACTAATGATTTCATGAATCAACTTTAAGGAAAATTATAGGTATTACATATTACCATTGACATTTCGACAATTATTATATGTTAACATTTTCTTACACTGAAATGTATTTCCGATACACACTTACTTCCACTCACACGAAGCTATCTTGATCTTTTTTTTTTCTGCTCCCTAACCATTCCTAAAAAAATTTTAATGCTCAGCACACCAGTCTATTTACCCCTTAAATTTCACACCACTTTTGAAGATGTATATAGCGTATGACCCCCCTCCACCAATAGCATTGCACCACCTATACTGACACAGCTAGCTCCTTCTGATTCTTCTGCTCAATCCTCACTTTCGAGAATAGGCAGAATCTAAAATGAATAACATCCGCAGTGGGGAGAAAGGGTAGGAATTGTGTAAGAGGAGGTATAAATTTTCAGTGTAAGAAAATGTAAACTTTTGATATGGTCTTACCTTCGCTTACACAAAGCTAGAATCCCATACTGAAAGGAGAAAGGGTAGGAATTGTGTAAGAGGAGGTATAAATTTTCAGTGTAAGAAAATGTAAACTTTTGATATAGTCTTACCTTTGCTTACACAAAGCTAGAATCCCATACTGAAAAGGTGGAGGGGCCGGTGTAGGCACCTAATAGTGAAACCAAGCAGAAAGTTACTGCCTAGAAATAACTGGTGTGCTCAAAATGAAACAGAAGCACACGTGTGTGACACAGCACTACTCGAAACATTGTGAGGTGAAAAATGAAAAGAAATCGATGGTTGAACATAGGAATCTAGCTTCCTGAGAATTAAGGTCTGTACCTCTTCAGCAGATAAAGTCAAACCCGATGCCTGGGTAGTCGTACCAGAAGCATTGTCTACCATAGTGGGAACTTTTGTTATCGATACATTGAATCGTGAAGAAATTAAAAGTTACCATACAATTTGATAACAATAAACAAATGCAAAAGAAAACAAAATTAAACAGTTGAATGCAAACACAGTAAATCTATTGAAAAATGTACTGAAATGACAATGAAGTACAATCATAAATGGTAGTCACGTGCGAAAAAACACAGGTTTAAATGATGCTATGCCAATTGAGAAAGCGAGGATTGATTGGGAAAATCAGAGGAAGCTAGCAGCACCAAGTATAGGTGGCACATTAGTATTGGAAGGATGATGATCATATGCTATATAAATGCTCAAAAGCAACACAAAATTTATGGAGTATATAGACTTGTGCGCTGAACATTAAAATTTTTTTAGGAATGCTTAGGGTGCAGAAAAAAGATCAAGATAGCTTTGTGTAAAAGTAGGTAAGACTGTATCAGAGTAAAGCCTTATCACTAATCATTTTTACAATACCTAATATTGTTATAATGTCTCTGAAATTTTCCTAAATAAGTAGAGAAATAATAAGTAAATAAATATCAGCAAATTTTTGAATACTTGAACTACAGTTACACAACCCTTTAAAAAACAAACTGATAATTGTTTAAAGTAATCACATAATACTGAAAAACATTTGAAAACAGACTGTTGCAACTATCATACAGTCCTTACTTAGGATTAGATGATGCGGCAGAGCTTGTCAAGTTTGTACTCGTGCTGTCAATAATTAAATGTGATGCAGGAAACAGGAAATTATTCAAGATGTCTGGAATCAAGATTTTACCTACAATGATAAAAAAAAATTAAAATAAGTGCAAGACAAATACAAAAAATATGACCCTTGAACGCCTTCAAAAAATACTCCCATACGGAGAAAAGTCATCTGACTTCAACCTAGTTTGACTAATGTCTATATTAGTCATTCCCTAACTTAGTTATTGATTGAAGTTACAATGTCTGCAATGCTGGAACAATATCCGCACGTTGATCTTAACAGTACTAGAAACTTATACTGCCACTAATGTAAAATTTTCAATTTCCTCAAAATCTCTCAAACCCTAAAAAAACAAACGCACACTTTGAAAGCATTGGTTGTTGAATAGTACATATAGCTTTTTTATATTTCACAAGTAACGAACATACAAATCTAATAACAATCTTCACAGCACATACAAGTGTATCTACATTAAAAAACACTCTCCCAAATGTAGAATTGAACAGAAAATAAAATGAAGTCACATTAGGATAAACAACTAAAATGTTATTATTTTGACATTTAACTTCACTACAATTATTTAAAGCAGCAGTACCATATTATATCAACCAATGTAACTACAATATTGAACCACATGATGATTTCTGAAACATAAACTGATTTTATTCAGGGAATAATTTCATGTCATGTAAAACTATGTGGATTAAACTTTCTAATCAGGCATGGCTTTTTTGTGTGTGACACCTTTTATGGTGTTATTCAAAATTTCATTAAACAACCTTATTATCATGTATATCATGAAAACTTTTAACTTCTCAATTTCAATAAAGAAACATTTAAAAATTTCTTAATCTTCATTTTTTCTGTGTTGTATGAGGCATTTGAGCTTTGATTACTCCACTGCAGAATATATATATATATAGGCTGTTGCAGGTTCCAACCAATCAGAAACACACACTATATATCATTACAAGCAGGAACCTAAAACATGCACCTCCTATCTTGATTTGCTGAAATATCAATAAATTTGTCAAACCCATCAGAGAAACTCCCTTCTCTCTTTGAGTTGGTTTAGCTAATTAATTACATGACTGATGGACATAATTAAAACCAATAGGAACAGCAGATTTTTATCTAAATCAAATTGACTACCGTAAGTTCATACAGCTATTTTCAATGCTAACAATTATTTTAACCTATTTATTAATTTATTTAGAAAGACAGATAAATTATAGTAGTTTTGGGACGTTCTATTCTAATGACTAATATATTGTATTTTAAAATGAATATTTGAAAGTTATATGAATTACTTTTTTGGACACCCAACAAGGCTTAGAGAAGAATAGCTTTGAATTTAAGAGATTGTGAGTACTACAAATCCTTCTTTTATCATGTATATTTTTTATTTATTGTTATATGTTTTTTTAAGAAAAGTAAAGTTTAACTCTTAAGACAAGTAATTTGGAATCTTTTGATCAGTACTTCAGTCAGTGAAGAGGAAAGAATGGTATAACTTATTTCATATCGATGAAATTTTCATTTAATTGTGCAATGTCTACATTTTCTTATACCAAAAATATATTTCCGATAATACTTATCACTTTAGCTTTATCCCGATGAACGTTTCTCTTCTCTGTCCATCTAAGCATTGGTATGAATTATACTTTGCTTGCTCCAGACGTTATACCCCATTATAGTGCCCATAGCGATTTGAATCTCGTGACTCTTTCCACCAACATCAATGCAACCTCTATACCAGATCTGTATAAAATCCCCCCCCGTTATTACTTCCTATTCACTTTTTCAAGACTGACAAAATTATCCAACCCAAACACCAGCCACTGTGAGGAAAAGGGGCAGGATAGTGGGTGAGGAGGTAAGTATTACTGAAAATACATTTTTGATATAGGAAAATATAAACTTCCAAAACATTAAAGCATCCACAGAAAGTGTCCACGTAGAAAACATATGCAAAATGAAATATGGTATACCACACTAATGGGGTCCGCACTACTTCTGGTTTGGTTTGTTTTAAATTTCGTGTAAAGCAACACGAGGGCTATTGTGCTAGCCATCCCAAATTAACAGTGATAGACTGGAGGGAAGGCTGCTAGTCATCACCACCCACTGCCAACTCTTGGGCTACTCTTTTACCAATGAATAGTGGGACTGACCATCACATCATAACACCCCCATGGCTGAAAGGGTGAGCATCTTTGGTGGGACAGGGATTTGAACCCACGACCCGCAGATTTCGAATCGAGCACCCTTACCACCTGGCCATGCCGAGCCCACTACTACTGGAACAGGTATGCTCTCTGCCTGGATAATGTGAAATCTAAAGCATCGGTGGTAAAGGCCAAGCAGCCACAGTGTTGAAACCATAACAACATGAGAATAATCAGGCAAGGAGGGACATCTATCCCAAAACTGATTCCTCCTGCAAAACCAAATTCATCTGGTCTGGAAATATTGTACATGCTCACGAGAATAGTACAGGCCCCAACCATGCAGACGAGGTCCCACGTCTCATCATTGAAATTACAGGGCTGTAGACTAAAATCTAGATCCAAGGCATAGTAGCTATGGCATGGGGACCACAGTGTGATATCATTGTATTACAGTAATATGAAACTTGCACTGGGGACTCGAGGAATGATGCTCCATAGATGGTGCAATAGGTGAATCACATTCCCTATTTTGAAAAACAAACCAATCCCTTTATGCTTTACTCATGATAGTCCAAGAGTTACAGTTCAGTACTGTATATTATGTATAGTGCTGAATAATTGCATAAACCATTTCCTTTGATAAACTTCCAAAGAAAAATGCTGAATGGACTGTGTTAATAAAGATGCCATCAGAGAAGTTAATTCCTGGACTGCATAAAAGCCAGCCATGAAGTTGAAGAAAGTAAACTGCTGAATAAAAAATGTCTGACCGAGACTGATGTAAGAAAGATGGCCAGAGAGGGAGGGGAAGATGTTGACACTCCTGAAAATTCTGGAGGAGTGGAAACCAAGGCTGACTTGGTCAAAGTGGTGCCACCAGAAGAACTCAACAGGACAATGAGAGAATCAGTGTAAGAACCTTGGATAACAGATGAATCGGAGGGAACACGTAAAGAGGTAGACCCATCCAATCCTGGCTGAGAGCATCTACTCCCAAAGCCAAAGGCTGATGTATAGGTGACCAGAAGGATGGGAACTGAGCATTCCAATGTGTGGCAAAGGAATCTATCTGAGGTGTTCTGAGATGAGAGCAGATCCAACAAAAAACTTGAGGATGAAGCATCCATTTCATGGGAAGAGCTCTGTTGGGACGAGATAACTGATAAATTCATTACACATGGAAGATGATAAGCAAGAAGAATGATCTGATGTTTGTGTGCCTAAAAGAGAAGATCCAATGCTCAAAAGCAAAGAGATTTGGAGTGAGTGCCCCTTTGCTTTGAAAGGTGACAATGAGCTGACAATGAAATTTTGATTGCTATTGTAAAAAATATGCAAAGAAATCAAAATATTAGAAAACACATAAGCATATTACTACTACAAAAATTGCAATACAGATATATTTTGAAGTAAATCACTGATAATGACTCATTACTAAATGATCTTTAAATGTACATAATCTTTCCCCTTTTCCATGCCATAACAAATCAATGTCAATTTAAGTTTAACCATTAATTTACAGGAAATACTGACAGCATTAGTTCATTATTATTATTATTATATGATCTTTTAGAAAAATTGTGACTACATTAAAAAATGCTGATAGCATCAAAACTATTAATGAATGACTCATTCAAATGTCACATATACTCATCATTAAGATATAAATTTTGTAGCAAATGCAATAAAAATACATTGAAGAACTTCGCTTGAATAACAAATTATTTTTGCAAAAACTTGGTATTTACCTACAAAAACACACAAAAATTATATCCTACCAACATCTTTTTTGACAATTCCTTCACAAGTGAGAAGTGTTCGTAGAAAGTTAAGATGGCCAGCCAATAGAGCACTATCTGCAGCTTTCAGACTTGTAGTGTCAGATGGTGTGAAAACCTGTAGCCAAGATATTTCATCATCCAGTCTCTGTACAGGATTTAGGTGAAGAGTGTGTTGTGCTGTTGCTGAGTTAAAAATGAATTATGGTGAAAGACAGTAAAAAGAATGTTTTAAACAAATTATTTTTACACCTTAAAAGATGTTTAGTATTAAATTATCACTCGGAAAAAATTTGGTTAAAAACTTAGCAATGAGGTTTTTAAACTCATAATAATTGTTTCATGCACTTACCTTTACTCATTTATTATGGAAGTATATGAGTATGTATGTAACTAGCTATCATAACCTTTTATATTTTGTGTATTTAAAATGAAATAAATTAACCTAAACAGAATATATAGAAACAATACAAATGTACCCAGTATTCAGCTGATCACCATATAACTTTCCTTTCTATTAAAAGTTTAATGTTTTGTTTTATAAACTTTAAGCTCCTTTTTCTTTTTATGGAGAAATAACTATATCAAGAGATTGCTATAAATATATAATTATTATTAAAAGAAAATAAATACTTTTATGTAAAGAAGTTGCATTTGAAAAAATAAACTCTGTAAAGTTAAAATTTTCTTAAAATGAAAATATATTTTTGATAGATACTTTCCTCCCTTCACAAAAAGCTTTTCTGACTTATACTGCCTTCTATTGGTGCAAATATTTTGCTTGCCACTAGCTTTGATACTCCCACTTATCATCACGTATGTTAATGTAAGATATCTGCATATTAACATGCAAATGACTAAGCAGCAACCCTCCACCAATAGAAGTGTGAAATTACTCCTATCATAACTAGCACACTCTTTAATTTTGCAGCTGTTAACCATTTTGAGATTGATCATATCACACTGGAAGTGGGGAGGACAGGTGGGACAGGTAAGTATCTCTCAGAAATATATTTTCAGTTTAAAAAAATGTTAACTTCTGATACAATATCTTACCCTCTCTTACAAAAGGCTAGAATCCCACAATGAACAGATAGAGGGATGAGGAGAAGATGAGTTCCCTTTTAGGAAGCACCCAAAGGAATACCATGGGGTGTGAGAAGGAACTATCCATATCCATTGGACCCCAAGAAAAATTACATAAATAATGGGACCTCCCTCAGAGTAGAGTAGAGCAACTCGGGCATGATAAAACTAAATGGGAGTCCGGCTTCAACCAACACCTGGCGGCATCTGGAATTGTATATCAGGTCCACAGCAGGAAGAGGGTCCTCTACCTTTAACCTCAAAGAATGGTAGTGGCAGAGAATGGGAGCTTCTGTTCCAATAACCTGCCTCTGCAGGCATGCACCTCCAACAACAGGTCAACCAAGAACTGACATCCACCTGATGGTTGGAGGGCCCATAGGGTTGTTCAAAACCTGGCAGCAATGTGAATTTTTTTGTCCAGTCCTCAGTAGGAGGGTACCAAATCTTACATTGATGGAAATTTATGTTTCTAATCCAGCTCCAACAAACATGAGATCCACCGGAAACCAACATCCAGTGGACAGTAGGAAGAAGGACAGCTATATTGGTTTGCTTATCCAGTTCAAAACCTGGTGGCATTAAGGATTTATCGTTCAGCCCATGGTAGGGGGGAGGGTAACCATACAAACACATATGAGGACTTATGTGGCTGGTCCAGCTTCAACCAACACCAGTTCCTCAGGAACCGACAGACGACAGGAAGTAAGGTGCCTCAGCCAGAGGGACAAACTGTATTGCCACCTGGTGGCAATTGGAATTATACATCATGTCCACAGTAGGAAGGACATCATAACATCTACACTGGCAGAATGTCACTGCCCTACTCTCAACTGAGTGGTATTATTCACACTCAGGAAGACAGGCCTCCACAGTCAATCCCCCCAGCAGCTAGGAACTGGTAAATGGCAAGGACTCCCACACTCTAATAGAAAAAGGAGGGAAATAATGTGTTGGAGAGTCTGGAGGACCACAGCACCAGAGACAGTTCAATGGGTGACCACGATACCCTATATTGAAAATCAGACTGATGGAGTGCATCACCCCACACCTGGCGACATGTGGAATTGTACATCAGGTCCACAGTAGGACGAGCGTCATCCATAATGAATCATCAGTGATGGGCTGTGATCCCTGTCTGCTTTACTCATGTTATTCAATGAGTGTACAGTCTGGGAGAAAAATATTTATGAGGCAAAAGACCACAAGGTACACCTATGAGCAGTCCTGCAGAACACCCCATCTAAATGGTGGATATAAAATGACCTGGATATGTGTTAGGAAACTGTATTTTGAAAGCACAGAGAACTTGGTGATGAAGTCCATCAATCAAAATCTGGCAGGATGTGGAATCATACATCAAGTCCAAGGTAGGAAAAGCCTCATCATCACAATCATCTAGTATGGTGTATGATCACAGGTTGTTCATTGCAGATTTAAGACTAAGTATACCTAGTCAGGCAACATTTGTCACAGAGCAGGACCTAAAGAAAACAAAAGGAAGACTTACTTCTCACACAGAAACTGAGGAGTGCAAAATGGCAACAGAAGGTATACAGAGAGATTAGGATTCCATGGAATAAACAAACAGACTCTGGAACCAGGAAAGAAAGCAGTGTGTGTCATATACCATTGAAGAGCCCTGACTGGGTAAAGTAGAAGATTGAGAATGGAACGGTCCTAAAGGTGGGATATGGAGAGAAGGGAAATGGGTGTGAAGGTAGAATTACCCTCTCAAGCAGCTGAAGTTTTGGGCATAAAAGAATGATCAGGAAACAAGAGAATATAAGAACTATGAAACAAAAGGTGTTAAACATCAATCTCGAACACATCGGAACGATGACGTCCACACGCCAACATGAGCAAGAACAGGGACTTTAAGGAAATGTGATATAACAAACCTAAAGACAAAGTTTCAAACAGAAAATGGGTAAGAGCACGAAGGACCACATTGAGGTTCCAATCAAGGAGGGAAGCAGGATGGGGAGGATGGGAAACATGGAAGGAACAAAGCAACAGGGATAAGACTGGCAACTGGAAAACACAAGCAAATTTGTTAAACCAAAATGTGGCAGATAATGCTGCCTGATAACCTGCAACTAATGAAACCAAAAAACCCCTGTCAAAAAAGAAGTTATGTGAGGTACAATAGGACAGGAAGGATGATAATCCTATCTGAAAGACCAATAGTGGTACATGTACCACTTACACTGGTAAACTGCTATGCAGGAAGAAAGAACTAGACAGGAAACAAAGTAAGTCCTGGTGAGGGACCAGGCAAAAACCACACACATGCCTGAGTGGGGCTGATGAAGTAGTGTTGGAGATAAAGAAAGAGGGGGCAACAACAAAAGAGCATACATTAGTGGAAACCATGTTTGAGCTAGCTAATATGGAGCCACCAATAGAACATAACACGGAGTGGTCTGAATTATGGCAAGGACATTTGGGAGAAGACAAAAAGGAGGATATGCATATAGGTAAAAACCTGATCAAAAACATCTACTGCTCCCACAAAAGGATGAGAAACAGGAGACTAAAATTGGAGTGTGTTGATATGAATGGCAAAAGCATCCAAACCTGGGACACCCCAACAAGCATATAATCTCAAAAAAATATGAGGAAACAAAAACCACTCCACAGGGAGAATCTTGTTGGGACAATATACCCAATTTGCAACTAGATTCAGGGCACCCAGAACATGACATGGCAACACAGTGATGTGACAGCTGTGAGTCCAATACAGAAGAACCAATGTTTGACACCAGTGGTCTCTCGACCAAGTGCCCCCTTGACTGGTGATGTATGAGAACACTGTAGAATTGTTGGAATGGACCATTATCAACTGGCTCCAAAGATCCTGCTGGAAATGAAGTAAAGCTTGATGAACAGCAAGAAGTTCAAAGAGACCGATAATGGAGAGAGAACTTTGAAAGAGAAGCATCCATAAAAAGCTGACATTCCAGTCAAGGAGGGGGAAGAGGAACATCCACGGTAGTACTGTCTTGATTCAACCACCAAGTGAAGTCAGTCTGTAAAGATGGGGGGAAGGATAAGAGAGACATCTAAGGGATCTCAAACAAGGTTTCATTGGTCTATCAAAACCCACTGAAGATGGCCCTTGTGTTTGCAACCAAAAGGAATGAGGGCTTCTAGAGAAGCCCATGTCCCCACAAGAGAGATGCTGCATACAAGATGTTCCATAGCTTGCAACCAAAGTAGAGAAGGTTGGGCCTGTCTGAGGAGAGAGTTAAAAAAAACATCGAAATGAACCAAATATTGTGTGGATGTGAGGAAAGAATTTTCCACTTTGACAAGCCAACCCACCCTGGCAGCTTCCTGGATAAGAAGCTGAGAATGTAGGACTGGGTCGTCTTATGATGAGGCAAGATGCAGCAAGTCGACCATATAATGGTGGAAATTAAGTGGGGGAAAAGGCTGTCCAAATCTTGTCTTCCTGATCACTTAAACCCTGAGCAGGAATAAAAGGACAATCATCAGTTGGCTCTGAATGTTGCAGAAATTGGTCAGCACCTGATGTACTTGAGTCGTCATGTCATGGGCCGATAACTGGGGCTCAGACCAAGTGCATGTGGTCGGTAAATATGTTACAGCAGAAGCAGAAGTTGTAGTCGTGAAACTGTGAGTGAATGATTCTCACAATGAAAAAAAAAAAAGAGAAAGGATAAAATAAATTGTAACTCTCCTTAAAAAAAAGACTGAAAACAGTAATTAACAATTAAAGTGAAGTAGAAAAATGAAGAAAGTAAAAACTTGTGGATAAGTTAATCAAACTGTTAGCAAAAACACATCTATTTAATAAGAGTACCAGTCGAGAAGTGGTTAACAGCTGTAAGATTAGAGAGGACATTAGTTATGATATGGGTAGTGTTGCATTTCTAGTGATTGAAGGTTGCTGCATAGTCATTAGCATGTTGCTATGCAGATATCTCTCATATGTGAAGGTAAGTCGGAGTACCAAGGCTAGTGATGAGCAAAAATGTCCACCAACAGAAGGCAGTATAAATTGAAAAAGCTTTTAGTGAGAAGAGGTAAGATATTATATCTGATTTGAAATACTTTTCCATGTAAATACATTATAAACTGAAGCATGCAATACTTGAAAGGATATGATGTTAAGGTACTAATGTATGTTTTCATTTAATTAAAAAAAAAATCAGTAGTTTAATATTTTACGAACAACTTAAAATCACTCCTACATTTTTTTCTGTTGAACAGAATACTGAACTTGAAACTCCAGATTCATTACTACTTGTGTGGAAATCATAGCATAAAAATGTCATTAACATCATAAAATTCTCATAACTCATCTCAGGCTATTATAGAATCTTCCTTTTATCTTATAAATATCAAATTTTATCTCTAAACTTTGTCAACTGTAATGACAGAGTACATTGGTTGATTTCATCACATGATTTTAACAAACATAAAAAGTAAATAAAATTAAATTACCAACTACATAAGAACAAATGAAATTTTAACTTGCTTTTAGTGTAGCAGACTTAAAAAGTATACATTACCCTCTCTGTACATATATATTATATATCTGTGTGTGAGTATGTGTGTGTGTGTGTGTGTTTGTGTAGGGAGCCTTATTTCTGCCTTCCCCTCACAACAGTATTATTATAAGGCTTTTGATGAAAAAAATGCATATCATTTTTTTGTTGCATGATCAAAAGATTGTGATCAAAAATAAATATCCAATATTGGGTTTACTCAACAATTGTAAGTCTTAATTTTAATTTTAGAACTGAAATATATAAATGAGAATCTTTGAAATTTAGCATATCATCCTCTCCAACAATTCTTCTTCAGATGTAAAAAAGGAAAACAGTTGAATATTTTCCTCATCATGAGTTCTCTACAATCATTAACCCTCTCACTACAGGCTCAGTGGAGTACACCGACTTTGCAACCTAAAGTAACCATCAGTTTCCATATTATAACTTTTAATATGTTTAGTGTATCTTTACAAAATTTGGCAAGATTCCAGTATATATCACAAGTTTCTTGTACACAAAAAATATTATTTTTTAATTAAGTATTTTTGCTAAAAATCTGTCCATAAATATATGGAATCAGAGTATTCTCCGACTGCAGAGCGATTTTCATGTTAAGATTAAAAATAATCTTCTTCGTATAAATGTTGTCAAATTTGCATAACCTCTAAAATGTCCAAAATAAGTATCAAAAGTTATGTTTTCACCAAAACTTTATATTCTATCTCTTATTTTCTCTACCCTAACTCTACATGCATTTGGTCAATTTGACCGATCTTGTAACCACCATAAAAAGAACACAGAATAACCAAATCACCCTTTTTCTTTCTAGAATGACTGATAATTTTGGCAATTTGTGAAATAGAGAAGTTGACAGGTAAACAAGGCTAGTGGATCTGATTTTCTAGTTATGTCTCCGTAATAAGACTGAAGGATATAAAAATTAGACTATGCCCTAGTAATATCTTTATTATAATTATAATAAGTAATTTATGTTAAATTATGTACTTCTCAGAGGGGGGAGATAAATAAATGAAAGAAGAGGAAAAGTCTAAAGAACAAATTTCACAATTTTCATATATAAAACTTGGAACAATTCAAGAAATAAAATATTATAAACTTTGTTGTTTTATACATAAAAAATATTATCTTGAGCCAAAATATAGCAAACAATGCTTGCATTTGCTAAGTGGTAATTGTATTTAATAAGTACAATCTCAAATAAAGTAATTTGTATTTCTTTAAGATTTTTATCATTGCAATTTCTTTGGAAATATATATTTTTATTCCAAAATCTGGAAAAATATTGGAAGATCAGTCAAGAAGAAAACAATGAAGTTTGATGGTAACAATATAAATTTTCAGAAAATTTTGTGTTTGTGGTAACAGTTACATGTCACTTTTAAACCTAATTATCACTTATTAATTGTTTCAAAAATTACTTACCACTTAGTCCATTCAGAAGTTTGCAACAAAGCTCAAAAAACTCTTGACATTGGCTGAGAAGTCTGCAAAAAATTTAAACCCATATTGCTATTATATTAACCTTAAGAGTTATGTGCATATGTATTTATGTATATATAGATAAAGACCAAAACAACAAACTATGTTCACAACAGATCTGTGCTTTCAAATTACCAGCTGTTTCCATCCTCAAGAATAGTCAGCTAAGGAAGCTAACATAACCAAATTAGCAACAAAAGTTAAAAAAGTAAAATTGTCTATTATTAATGCTCCCCCCCCCCAAAAAAAAATCTGCTTCAAAATCTAAACATAGGTCTAAGAAGCACTTTTCTGACATATTTGTTTATAGAGTTTAGGTATTTGAAGTCAAAACTTTGAGCAATATATCAACATAAATACGAAACTAATCTATTGTAAAACACTACATGCTCACCTTAGGTTTGTGCCTCGAGTGCTACTGGATGAAATCCACAGTGGAAGATGTGCTTGAAGTAGTACATGCAATAGAAAGTAACGAGGGGAAGATTCATCCTTAAGTGTTGGAATGTGAACTTGGCTAAGTCTGTGGAACTGCTTTAGGGCTTGTAACCGTATCTCACAGCTTGGAGAGCCCAGCAACATATCAATGATGAAGTCATTCACACAGGACATTTTTGTGAAGAGGGCTGTTCAAAGTAATTGCCCATTTATTGTTTTACAGACTCCACTGAACATCACTTAAGATACAAAATATCTTGAAACTTTATATCCCATATGAGAATTAGATCATACAAGTTTGAATTAATGTTACACAAACATTTACAGATTTTCTTCTGATAATGATAAACAATACTAAGAATATTCTATGTATTGCTAGTCAACTAAATACATCACTTTAATAAAACCTCACAAGATGTTTAGTGTGCATTTATTGTATAACGTTATGTTCTGAATGTTTAAATATTCATTTTCATTCAGAGTACGAATATCTTTCCTGTCGGAAAGTTACCGATTAGCTTGGATGAATTTGTAACAGCTATTGTTGCATAATTGGAAAGCCAAGAAAATTTTGAGAGGTAAATTAATTTGTCTACCTTTTGTATGTTATTAGTCTACACTCTTTGGTGCAATATTTAATGAAATAAAAATTATTAAGTGCATTGCTATCTATAATATAAATAATTAGGGTTAACTCTATTCAAAACCCGACTG